TGTTTCACGATCACATCGACTTTTTTTTTTTTTTTTTTTTTTTTTTTTGAAGTACTAATAATTTTAAACAGTGAAGTACTAATAATTTTAAACAGAAATTTTATAAAGAAAAATAATTGAGAGTTTTAATAAAAGAATTTTAATGAGTTCTAATAGGAGTGGATTCTATTGTGATGTGATATTTTGATTTAGTTTTATTTTTTAAAATTTTTTTTATTTCCTGTCATATTATTAGAGCTCAATTAGAATTCCAAAATTAGAAGGATGTATCATTGTTCTTTTATAAATTATTCTGTCATTTCTTTTTTCTTATGGATCCAAAAATCTTATTTTAGTGTGAATTACATAAAGAACCAATCTTAAATATACGCGTGTTATGTGTTGAGAGATAAATATAAATTTTTTATAATGTTAAAATTACTAAATATAACACTTCAAAAAACTTTTTAGTAAATTTTTTTAAACGTAACATTCTAATATAGCACACTAAAAAACTCCAATCAATATAACACAAAATCTCTTTAATATATTTTTTCCAAACATAAGACTCTAATGTAACACACTAAAAAATTTCTTAGGAAACTTTTTCCAAACATAATAACGTAACATTTCAAAAAAATTTCTCAGTGTATTTTTTCTGAACAAAACACTCCAATCAATATGACACACAAAAATTTCTTAGTGTACTTTTTTCAAACGTAACACTCTAATATAACACTCCAATATAACAGCATAAAATCACATTAACAGAAATGTAGATTTTCACGTTTGATAACCAATACTTCAGCCACCGATCCCCTTAAAAAGAATCTTTCACATCTTACATTTTTATTCTCATTCCAAAAAAAATCAAAAAATTAGAAAAATGAATCACAAAATGATATTCACTTAAACTCAAATGACACTAAATCAAATAAATACAAATTTTCAAAATAAAAAAGACTAATTAATTTATAAGAAAACTCTTGCGATTAAGTGGATCAACATCATCCTATATACGATTTATGGGTAAATTTTTTTTTTTTTTTTGAAAGATGAAACAAACAAAACTAATATATTTGCTATATAGATATAAAAGGGATAAATTACAAATATACCCTTGACGTTTGCTTAAAATACGAATTGCCCCATGTGGTTTGGAAAATTACAAATACCTCCATGTCAGAATTTTTTTATTCAACATAATTAATTGAAAAAGTAAAATTTTTAACTGTTCACCTATACAATAATAAAATTATCTGAATTATTAATTGAAATAAAATTTTAACATTATTAAAAACTGTTAATAAACTTGATAATTTATAAAGAAAAAGACCTATTTGTTATAAAATTAGACATCTTAGAGGACATAATGTATATATAGATATAAAAGGGATAAATTACAAATATACCCTTGACGTTTGCTTAAAATACGAATTGCTCCATGTGGTTTGGAAAATTACAAATATCTCCCTGTCATAATTTTTTTATTCAACATAATTAATTGAAAAAGTAAAATTTTTAACTGTTCACCTATACAATAATAAAATTATCTGAATTATTAATTGAAATAAAATTTTAACATTATTAAAAACTGTTAATTAACTTGATAATTTATAAAGAAAAAGACCTATTTGTTATAAAATTAGAAATCTTAAAGGACATAATGTAATTTTTAAAATCACAGAAGATGATTTGTAATTTAAGTAAAACTTAAGAGATGTATTTATAATTTACCAATATAAAAGATAGTTAATAATATATATATTTCAATATAAAAGTGATACTATCTTTTTTTTATTCCTTAGTAATGAATGACAAGCTAAACAAAGACCAAATATCATGTGAATTAAAATTTTAATGAAATATAGGGAAACTATACTAAATTTAAAGTGCTTAATATATTTTTTCTGTGGAATAAGCTTGGCTCTAGTTCATGAATTGGACTGGAAGGTCCAATTTTGCTACTATGTGCATATTTAGGGTGTATTTTAGTAATTTAAATTGTTCAATTTATACAATTCATTCGAATAAATTATTTATATAAAAAATTATATTGAGCTAACATTAATAGTTGCATGATCAAAACACATTTAAAAAAAATAACAAATATAAATTTGAAATTGACTATTTATTTTATTAAAAATAAGTATAATTTAATTAAATGACTACTGATATTCGATTAATTAAAAAAATTTCATAAATAATTTATTTGATTAGTTCACAAAATGAATGATTATATCTAATTTAGGGGTTATTTGAGATGACCTAAATAAATGTACTTTTTATCTTTTTACAAAAAGATGTGCAAAAAAATAGAAAGGTAATGTGACGAAAAAAAGATAAAAAAATAAAAAGATAGATTATTTTTAAGTTGCCAAACTTAACCTTAGTCCATAACGGTGGATAATATCAAAAATTGGACCATCTAGAAGAAGGCTATTATTTTTCCTAAAACATTTAAATAGATTTATTTTTCTTCTATATTATTGGTCAAATTAAAAAAGGCGAAACAGAGATGATTGGATCACCGGGGCCCAACGTACAAAGTTAAAAATTGCACCAAGTAGACTTTGACAAGTGCCAAAAAAAGGATAAAAGTGACGGAGTTGTAATGAAGATTTTTGATTAACCAACCAAGAAGCGCTTATGAGAAGGTTGTTGGGTACGTGTCGTTGCCATATTGGTGTGTTGGTATTGACTTGGTGCTCGAGCCGCTACGGGAACAAAATTATTGTCGGAGGAGATTTCTCCGCAATTCACGTTACGGCCGCGAATGGAGCCGACCGGCGCGGTCGTGATTTTGGTTATTTTGGTGGGAGTTGAATACTGAATGGAAAATATTTGAACCATTTTGGGAATGGCTCCACATTTTTAAAAAGATCTTGATTCTCTATGGCCTATTTTGACGACATGATTTGTAGTCACTTTTTTTTGATTAGTAGCAAAAGTTAAAAGTTGATTTTTTTGTTTTTTTTTTCGTTTGGGATGTTGATTTTTAGCCAACGGTGAAATTATAATTTTATCCCTCATGGATCAAAATGTGTTACATAAGTGAAGTTGTAAATATTTTAAATAAATGGGGGTAGTTTGGTCATTTTACTATGATTTGACATCATAAACAAACATTAATAAAAAAAGTCAAAAGTCACTTTTTACCAACTTCTCAAATCATTTGTCTAAAAAAGCCAAAAGTTTAGTTAAAAGTCAAAAAGTCACTTTTTACCATCTTCCCAAAATAACCCTATGTATACGCAGGGTTCATTTATATATGTGTGGAATTTATATTATGAGTAGATTAGATTTATGGGATCTTGTGAGAGTGAGAGTCTCAATCATTATTTAAAATAAATTACAACAACAAAGTTTTAGGAAAATTCCATTATTTATATTTTATATTATATGTATTTTTAATTATGTTATTTTTCTAATTATTATATTATTTTAAAATTTTAGATATAATTTTTTTAAATATTTTTAATTACGATTTAAAAAATATAAAATTATATTATTCGTATTTATAATTATAAAATATATATAATATACAACTGTAAACTTTTCCATCCTTTCAATTTCAAGTCAATCAAACGTTTTGTGTAAGTAATACTCGGTAATTAGAATAGTTGACCAAGACTTGCTGCCCATGGCCCAAAAGAGAAAAAGAATACGATTGTTTGGTGATGTTTATTTGTGCTTTTTATAGATAATAAGTGATTTTAATTTTTACTTTTTCAGAAAAAAAAATTGACTTTCTATTTATTAATTTTTAATTTATAATAAGCAGCATTAAATATGCTCAAAGCGAGTAATTTCTCTCTAGTTTGGTTTATTGTGGGCCTATTTAAAGTAGGTAATGCTTGGTAATTAGAATAGTTGACCAAGACTTGCTGCCCATGGCCCAAAAGAGAAAAAGAATATGATTGTTTGGTGATGTTTATTTGTGCTTTTTATAGATAATAAGTGATTTTAATTTTACTTTTTCAGAAGAAAAAAAAAATCGATTTTCTATTTATTAATTTTTAATTTAGAATAAGCAGCATTAAATATGCTCAAAGCAAGTAGTTTCTCTCGAGTTTGGTTTATTGTAAGCCTGTTTAAAGTCCGTTTTGACGATTTAAATTATTTATTTTGTGAGGTTTATTGAGCATATTATTCATACAAAAAAATTAAGTTAATTAGATATCAATAGTTAATTTAGTCTATTGTTTAAACAGAAATGTGATCCAGTCAACTTGATTTTGTTGTATAAACAATGTACCAGTCATATTTTATAAAATGAACAATTTGAATCGTCAAGATAGGCTTGAAGTGACTTACAGTGGGCTACACTGGATCTCTCCAGTCCAGCATTCTGCTCCAGATAAAACCTCTTGTTGGAGAATACCTCTTTTGGGCTGATGAAATGCCACTGTGGGCTGAAAAAAATGCTCTATGTGCCAATGGTTTGGGCTTGGGCTTGGGCTTGGGCATGGGCATGAGTCGAGAAATTTGCTTTTTATTTATTTAATTAATTTTTCAATTTGAGTAGCGGTTGATGGTGATATTGTGATAACTACTTTTTCGCCCCCCACTCTCATGGAGAGACAATAGTAACTGTTGAGTGGAGTTGGCAGTGAAAGATTGGCACGACAATACATATTTCAACATCCTAGCAATTATTGAACAGCAGAAGCACAGTAATGGAACAAAAAACAGTTAAAAGAGGTAAAATGCAAATGCGGAGGTGCAGTTGTCATAATGTGATGGATGATTAAGTTAAAAAAGAGACTAAAAAAAAGGCACAGCAGCCTGAAATTGGAAAGTCAAGAAAACACACACCAAAACTATAAAACCAGAAAGTTTGACATGCCCAATAAATGAATTGTGCACATATGAGCACTATAAAAGATCTTACGGTATGTTTGGTGTCACTTTAAATAAATAAATAAAAATATTTTTTTTCTCTCCCCCGCTTGTAATGTTTTATTTTTATTAATAAAATATTAGTTTCTTTCTGTCAATTAAAAAAAAAAAAACTTACGGTCTGAATTAATGGAGGAAACTTGGTAATACAAAAGATAACTGAAGAACTTTCATTATCAAATTTTATTATGTACATACAAAGAGAGATTGCTGTGCCACGCCCACGCCTTGGAATCAAAAGGTTTATCTGTGGTAAGATTAAGAGTACATACAAAGGGAGATATTCCTGTATCCTTAAAATTAATAATTTTTTTATCTGTTGTAAGATTTAAGAATAGCTCCACAGAAAGTACATACAATAGCTTTCCAAGATTTCCAGTAGAATGGGATGTAACAGAACCTTGTGGCGGTTTTCATGTCTGCCACGCTTGCTCCACCACCGCACCGTGAACACGTCCCTGCTGCTGGCTTGCTCCTCCTCATCCTCCTCTTTTGATCAACTAAGAAGCAGAAACAAACCATGGCCTAATAGTCCTCTGCAGTGCTGGTTCTGTGGTAGTGTGGTAATGGGTATAGCATGGTATGGGGAGGCTTTAAATGGGTGGCAATGCCGTTAATGGTTGAGCAGTTTGTAGGTGACACGTGTTTGGTCTGTGGAATTAGTTAGTAGATATATAATGATCACGTATTTGCAGCGGGGAACCTGCTCTGCTTTCATGATTATTTTGTGGATGAATGCCATGTGTCGGTTACAGTTGGATTTGTAAACTGTGCTGCGTTTAAATGGAGTGAGCGAGCTGAGCGACTATGAAAATGTACAAGTCGTTGAGTATTCATGAATCCTATCTATTTGTACATATATCACCACCAGAATATACAGACATCATATGAATCATATCTACCTACAAAAGATTGGAAAATCTAAATGGCAAATGTTAACAGGTGCTCCCATGCATTGTTTACTGTTAAAATTGGTGTAAAATTGTTTTAAAAATAGTTAAAAAAAAATGGAAGTGTATTAAATTGAGTGAAAATGCTATAAAACTAATGAAAAGTGAAATGAGTTTTACACTTAATTTGTCTTTTTTGTATGCATCTAGGATACTTGTTAGCAAGACCCAATCTAAATTACCCACAAAAAAAAATAAATAAAATAAAATAAAATAAAATAAAATCTCAACTGGAAAAAGATTGAACATTGTCTAATCTATATTTTGTCATCCGTACCAAATGCTAATAGCTTCTCTTTACAATGTCATTAAGCAGTAAAGCCAGCAACAAGTTGTACTAATAACTCTAATCAGTCAAGCATTGTAGCTACAACAGATAATGCAAAGATACGAGGTACAGCACTAGAATTTTCATTTTGCAAAGAAATTACAACATATTTACGAGGTACAGCACTAGAATTTTCATTTTGCAAAGAAATTACAACATATTTCAGTTGCTCAGACAACCCACAGCACTAATCATGAAGCTCGTTTTGAAATTCATTCAATTTATGTCTCCACTCACGAATGTCATCCACGCCCCTCAGCTTTTCAGCCATATTTATAATGGAAAGAGGCAAGCCATGACATGCTCTGATAATTTGATTGGCAATTTCTTCAATTTCTGGATCAACCAGGTCATTTAATCCGACATTTTCCATGAATAACCTTTCTGCTTCATCTAAGGGAAGAGGCACCACTTCGATAATCTCCCTGGCCCTGCAACCCATCCTTCGACACACCTCCCGTGATCTAGTGGTTAAAACCAGTTTGCATCCATTCACTTGAGTGCGAATTCCTATGTTATCTAGATTAAAATGTCTCGAAAGTCCATCCAAAATGAGTACAATCTTCTTTCGTCTGTTTAATGCATTATGCAACCTGGCTGCCCTTTTCCTTTCGTCATTGTCATCTAAATTAAATCCTATTGCTTTTGCAATGTCATCCTGCAATTTAAGAATGGTGTGCTCGGGGGATACACTTACCCAATAAACGTGGTCAAAATTTTGAGAAAGTATCAGTTGATTGTATAAATTTTCAATGATGCATGTTTTTCCAATTCCCTCAATTCCAAAAACACCAATTATTGAGACTCTATCATTCATCACACATCTCTGAATATTTTCCAGAGCTCTTTCTTGTGTATCCACCAATGCTTTCGTCAATAATGCCTCCACCCTAGTATGAGATGATTCAAGTACAAGACCCTCTGGAAATCGTCCCTGTTGATAAAGCTCGTCCACTTGTTCAATATTCTTTTTAACCTGACTTCCCCACCATGCACGCAGTAAAAACTTCACCCCTCCATAATTTCGTACCATGCTTTCCACCTCAATATGTTTACGTTGTACATTTTCCAACCAATTTTTAACTTCTCTCTTTCTCTCATTTCTAGGATTTAACTCCGCAACTTCCAATTGTTTGCTAATATCCTCCTCTAGACAGCATAATGTTTCCATCTTTCTCGCAAGGCTTTGCATATTTTCATCAAGGTGATTGTGATAATTTAGCCACTCAGGGCAATCAACAATGAATGTCCAAATATTCTTAAGAAGTTCGATTTTCGTCCAAACTTTCTTGAGGAACATTGTATCCACAAGACTACCTACTGCCAAAAATGTTAAGAATTCCATAGCCATTGAACAACCTAATGTACAGAATGACAGGGTGGTGATTAGCACACCAGTTACCAGAACAAATAACAGAATAAAACTTCAAGAAGAAGTCATAACAAATAATCAACGAACTTTAACAAACCTAATATTTGCGTCAAGCAATAACTTTAGCACATAAAATACCAAATATTATATTAGAATGCGAGATAACATATGATAACTAAAGCAAGATACTCAAACCGTTAGGCTTAGTTTCGGTAGGTGCAATTATAGACTTATAAATGAAGAACATAACTAGAATTTCTAGTGCTAGTAGTATGTTAATATTTCATGCATGAAGGAATATGAGGTCCATACTACCATATTTAGGACACCAATATTCTTCAATAGTCAACTAAATAAACTATGTTTTGGATTAATGCTTTCAATTACATTTATAAGTGGAATAAAATAGTTGATGATTATTTATCAATATATATATATATATTACTTGATGCTTCAAACTAGTCTAAATCTGCCTTAACAGGTATCATAAAAGGACCTTAGGAGTTCTAAATTAAGTTCCAACAAAATGTGAAATTAGTCCTAGAAAATGATCTGAGTTCTTGTATGCTGCTAATTCAGCCTAGGCAGGGGCACAGCCAAGATTATAGCATTGGGGGGCCAAAAGTAAGGCATTAGCCAAGTCTAAACAGTTGGGTTAAATTAAATGTAAACGACTAAAATCAACAAATCACTATTAAAACTAAGCAAATAAATAATGATAACATTCTAAATCTATTCTAGAAATTTGAATTTCAATGATTCACCACTAGAAAAATGTAAATGTAAATGTAAATGATAATGAATTATATATCACACTACGTACATAAATTTTTGATGTTCTCTCGTACAAATGAATGAAATAGGAAAATAGATTTTTAGAAAAGAAAACGAACAAAATTATGGTATGCCCTATAACCTATCAAAACTATACCATAATAATTCGTAACAATATCACAATAGTTAATAATTTTTTTCACAACAATAGTTCATAATATTTTAATATTCATAACATAATCATGATAGTTCGTTACATAACCACAATGATTTGTAACTAAGATTTTTCTTATAGTGCATCTTTCATAACATAACTGAAATAATTTGCACCTAACACTACAAAAACTCATAAGGATCCTACAAAATATAGCATATAAGTAAGAATATAAGAAGTTTGGAGGGCCAAATACAATTACAGTACATAACAACTATATAACTTGCGTGCTTATATGAAAAATTCTTGGAAACTTAGCAGGGCCAGCCAGCCCCCCTTCCCTCCGCCCCTGAGCCTAAGGTTTATCCATAATCAGTGTTAGATGATATTGTCTATCTCTATATAACACACCTAAACTCGATCCACATAATCTAAAGGCTTCTCCACTTATTACCAATTTGAGTTAGATGCTACAAAATTCTAACACGGAATTGAAGCTAATTTTCCTTGCTGGTTTCTCTCATCACTGTTCTCTCTATCACCTATACTCTAAGCAACCCAAACCTGGTCCATGTAATATGAAGGCTATACCAAAAAATTCTATCTCCCCCTGTGAATTTTCAGCTTAAACTGACAAAATTTAAGCCTTTCGATTCCCAAGAATTTCAAATTTCACTCACTAACACATACATAAGAATGCAAGCTTGATGCATAAGGGCAACACAACACAAACGAAATCATAGATTCAGACCCAATTTATTCCAAATTCGCTCACCAATACACATATATATCTTGAACAGTAGTAGATCATGCAATCATGATGCATAAGGGCAACCCAGAGCAAGGGAAACCCCAGATTTAGACTCAAGCTCAAAAGGTGAAATAATTAGAGAAAAATAACGGTTTAATTGCAAAGAGAACAGAGAAGGAAACATAGAACAGTTTAGAGGACAAAGCTAGAGAGTACCTGAAAGTGGGATATGAAGATGAGAAACCTAGAAGATAGAGGAGCGGGTGAGCTGAGAAATATGCGTACTTTGGTAAACGATTTGAGTTGCAGAAAAGAAAACCGTGTGAAGGAAAGGCGATTGGAGTCTTCCCAAGTAAGTGCTTGGAAGCTACCTGTGTGTGAGTGTGGTGTGTGTGAAAAATTAGTAGTTATTATATTATTGGAATTTGGGGGAGCATTTTTTAAAGTGAATTATGAAATTTGCATTAGTTTATAATATAATCATTGACTTCTACAAATTTTGGATTTAGACAGGGAAAGAAGAAAATTATGTAAAAATTGTGTAAAATGTGGGGGTATTTTGGAAAAATAGTTAAAAGTTATTTTCTAACTTTTAATCTATTTTGAATTGTATCATCTCTTACATTTTATATATATTTTTAAAAAAAAAATTAAAAAAATCAAATTTTAATCATCTTTTTAAAATAACTTGTAATTATATTTTATTTATATTTTACTTATTTTTTTATTTTTTGAAATTCTATACAAATTTATGAACCAAACTCATGATAAGTTTAGGCTGGTGGACCCTTGAAATCCATGCTCTGTGTCAGTAGACTGTTTATAAAATATTTTTTATTAATTTTTCTAGACATAGCATAAACTAATAAAAAAAATATCTCATCATCAAGATAATCATGCCATTTAAATTAAATTGCGTTGATAATTAAAAAAAGATATGAAAAAATATTGATTTAATATCTTAATTGATTATCATATTATTAAATTTAAAAATTGATTTTGATTTTTAAATTTGTATAGTAATATCCATAAATGAATTGTGCACATATGAGTACTATAAAAGATTTTATTGTATGTTTGGTGTCACTTTAATAAAAAAAAATTTAAAAATATATTTTCTTCTCTCCCCGCTTGTAATGTTTTTTATTAATAAAATATTACTTCCTTTCTGTCAATTAAAAAAAAAACTCATGGTAAGAATTAATGGAGGAAACTTGATAATTCAAAAGGTAAAACTTTCATTATCAAATTTTATTACGTACATACAAAGAGAGATTGATGTGCCACGCCCACGCCTTAGAATCTAAAGGCTTTTCTGTGCTAAGATTAATACATACAAAGGGAGATATTCCTGTATCCTAAAATTATTCACTCGGCTTGATTTTGTTTTTCAAAATTCACTTTTCAAAAAAATTTATATTTTTATTTTCTGTTTTTTTTTTCCACTGAATTTCTTTAATATTTTAAACAATTTTTTTAATTTTTAGACACATCAAACATAAATACACTTAAAAAGTATAATTTTCGTAATTTTTTTTAAAAATTCACTAAATACAAAAAAAATACAAAAATTTAATATATTTTTCATATTTTTGTGTATTTATTATTTTTTTAAATAATTTTTTCATAAATATTTTACTTTTGAAATACATCTAAGTAAGATACATTTAAAAAAAATAAAAAAAATTACTTAAAATTTAAAAATATTTAGTAAAAATAAAAAAATACGAAAAATAAAAAATTTAATTTTCAAAAAATTAAATTCAAAAAATTAAAACCAAGAATAATTTTTTTATTTGTTGTAAGATTTAAGAATAGCTCCACGGAAAGTACATGCAATAACTTTCCAAGATTTCCAGTAGAATGGGACGCAACAGAACCTTGTGGCGGTTTTCATGTCTGCCACGCTTGCTCCACCGCACTGCGAAGACATCCCTGCCGCTGGCTTGCTTCTCCTCATCCTCCTCTTTTGATCGACTAAGAGCATCTCCAACGGTTAACTTAATATTTCACCAAATCTAAGTTAAAAAATGGCCATTTCCTTAATTTGATACTTCACGCTCCAACAGTTCACCTTCATCAAATCTCATTCAGGACAACCGGATGGTCGACCGGACCGGTCGACCGGGTAGAGGAAATTTTTTTTTTTTTTAAAAACCTTTCTGAACTGTTTGAACCAACCGCTGAACTGTTTGAACCAACCAACGTGAACTGACCGATGTGAACTGGTAGGGGGCGACCGGTTGGTTGACCGGCCGATTAACTACCCGGTCGACCGGTAATCTTTATTTTATTATTATTTTTTTTGATTTCCCTCCATTTCTGTTCCTAATTCTTTTCCTATTTGTTTTTCCTCCATTGGTTTACCCGCAATAATTATTTTCTTCTAAAATCTCATATAAACACATTATTATTTATATGCCAGACAACTACACAAGGATCATAGCTTAAACACAAGGATTATATCTTAAACAAAACAGAGGGTAATGGATACTTTAAAATCCATGATATTTACTTCATTTTCATCATCTTCTTCTTCCTCCTCCTCTGATGAGGAGTCTGATGATGAATATATGATCACACTTTTAGCAGCTTATAAGTAGAATACCAATAGTATGCTTCAGATTCTTAAGTCAAGTGATAGCTCAAAGAAAATAGGGGGTTCTATTATAGGTCACAAGTATATACGCAGAGATAGAAGGCAAGATCATGACAGATTGTTTGCAAATTATTTTGCTGCAAATCCAGTGTATTCAGCTACAATATTTCGGAGACGTTTTCGAATGCGTCGTCCTTTGTATTTGCGAATTTTGAACGCAATCGAAGCACACAATTCATATTTTATTCAAAAACAAGATGCAGCTCATGTAGTTGGATTATCTGCCCTACAAAAAATGACTTCAGCGATGAGAATATTATCATACGGTGTCGCAGCAGATGCAGTTGATGATTACATACGTATTGGGGAAAGCACTGCGATTCAAAGTTTGTAACAATTTTGTTATTCAGTGATTGAAATCTTTGGAGTAGAATATCTGAGATCTCCGACACCAACTGACATTGCTAGGTTGCTTGCTATTGACGAGATTCGGGGGTTTCCGGGTATGTTGGGAAGTTTAGATTGCATGCATTGGGAGTGGAAAAATTGTCCAAAAGCATGGCAAGATCAATACATAGGCCATCAAAAAAAGCCAACCATTATTCTTGAAGCAGTAGCTTCTTATGACTTATGGATTTGGCATGCATTTTTTGGAATGCCTGGGTCACATAATGACTTGAATGTATTAGACCGGTCACCTTTGTTTTCTGATCTTGCCCAAGGTAAGGCTCCCCCTGTCCACTACACTGTTAATGGACATACTTACGATATGGGTTATTACCTTGTTGATGGTATATACCCGCAATGGGCAACACTGGTTCAAACAATTTCTTCTCCCCAAGGAGTAAAGAGACAACATTTTGCAATGATGCAAGAGTCTGCCAGGAAAGATGTAGAACGGGCATTCGGAGTCCTCCAATCTCGATTCGCAATTATAGGTGGTGCTGTACGTTTTTGGGATCCAAAAATGCTTGCCAACATAATGAAGACTTGCATTATATTACACAATATGATTGTTGAAGATGAGAGGGATGAGCACCTTGATTTTGATTATGAAATTTCATCTACCAACACACCAGTGCAACTTTCCTCTACTCCTACCAATGACTTTGAATCATTTTTGTCTCGTCATTTAGGTATTAGGAATAAAAATGCATATCATGCCCTCCGTAATGATTTAATAGAACATATGTGGCATCTTCGCGGTGAAAACTAGATTCACCACAGATATATTTTGTAATTTTGTTTAGTAAAGAAATAGAAGGTTATCTTGTTTGTAATCTTCATTATGATGCACTATATTAACCAAGTAACGTAGAAGTTATGTGATTAGATGTGCTATTGTGGTGATCCAATCTTCAATATTCATAATTGTTCTCTGTTCAATTTATAACAATCATCAAAATAATTTCTTTCAGTATGACAATTCTGTTTTGGAGTTCTATAATTTTGTTTTGGAGTTGCAAGTTTGGTTCACTATTGATTCCCCAATAAGTCTGTAGACACCCCATTTTTGACAACCCATAAGACTTGGGCGTTACTGATGGTTTACTTGGTGATAAAAGGTGTGCAGGGCAAAGATCCAGTTTCTTCGGCAAGGAGAGAGACAAGTCTCAAATTCACACCCCGTTTTGGACCAAAGCTATTTTGGATGGTTTTCAGACCTTAAAACTCTCTCTTTCAAAACTTTTTTGAAATAAAGTTTCTGCGATGCTCCGAGGCTCGCATTTTGTCAAATGTTGCGCTTTTCGGTAAACCGAGCAAGGATGAAGTGGAAATGAATGAAAGAGAGATGAAATCTTTGAAAAATCTTTCAAAACACCTTGCTTAGGGGTTTGAAGTTGAAGAAAGGAGGGGAAGAGAGAAGAAACCATGTTAGAGGAGAAGACAGGCATGAATCTGGGTAGAAGGGAGTCGAGCAGTCCTCGCTGAATCGGGCTTATTAATCTGCATACTTGGATTTTAGCTATGGGGCCACCACCATCGGAAATCTCACTTCCGGGGCTTCATTTTTCACTCAAGAATCTCTTAAAGCCGAGTCCGGGTGGGGGAGATATGATCAGTTGAAGTTGGGCATCATCCTGGTTGGATCGAATTTGCGCGGCTTCACCAAAAAGGCCATCACTTTTTGCACAGGAGGAATTTTAATGCAAGGTTTGCGCCATTGGAAAGCTAACTTCCGGGGCTTCAATATAGACACCCACCGGCCACTTTTTGACCTTGGAAGCATCTGTCGGCAATCTATTTATCCGACCGGCAATTTATTGTGCCGACCGGCCATTTATTTTAGCTGACCGACCATTTTTGCTGGCCGACGACCTTCTTGAGTATTTTACAGATTGAGTGGATGCCAGCTGTGCCAGCTAGAGGGCACAGACTGGATCCTCCATACACGTGTATGGAGGTTCTTTGCTCTTGGTTTGAAGCTTCTAAGAGAAGCTTTAGTCTCTTGGCTCTTTAAAGGAAGCTCTCCTCTTCCTTATACCAGGTTAGAAAACCAGCTGGAGCATTACATACAATCCTCCATATATCTATCTCATCCAAGCCTCCAAACCCTAAAATCCTTGCTCCATTTGCACTACACCCTATAGCACCACACCACCACTCCATTCTAGGAGCTTTGAAGGCCTTCTCAGAGCTTTGGAGGCACCTTTTCTCAAGCCAAAAGGCTGCTAAAGTTTGGTCTTCAAGGGTGAGCAACATTTCCTCTCTTTTAAGCTTATTTTTGTATCCTTTCTAAGCCATACATGATTGCATATTTGGGCTCCGACCCTAACTAGAACTAGGCTTATTTTGAGCTATTTTTCATGTTTGTTTAAGGGCCTCTCACTGTTTGAGGTCTCTTTGTTACACTTGCTTCATTGCCTCTCTTATATGCCATTTTCTTGTGTAGTATTTTTGGCCTATGTATAAATTTTTTTGAGGCATGTCATAAACTGTAAAGTTGCTCATTTTGAGCCCTTCTTCAACATTGTTAAAGGGCTTATCACTGTTTGCCACTTGCCTTTATATCTCTCTTTTGGCTCCATTTTTGCATGATTTGTTAGCCTCTTATGCTTCTGTTTTTGAGCTTTGGTCCGAACTATAAATGGCCTTATTTTGACCCCTCTTCATGTTTCATTAAGGGTCTTTTACTGTTTGAGACATCCTTTTTGTACTTTGTGTTATAGCTCTCTTTTTGGCCTTGTTTTGCATAGTATTTTGAGCATACTTGTGCACTGTTTTGGGTTTGATCATAAACTGAAAAATGCCATGTTTTGGGTCCCTCTTCAACATTGTTGAAGGGCCCTCTCTTTTTTGGGGCCAGCAGCTGTGACTTGCTTCTTTATCTCATATTTAGGGCCATTTTTGCATATCGGTTTAGCCCTATTTGTGTTCACTGTTTGGCCTTACTTAAAACTGTAAAAATGCTTATTTTGAGACTGTCTTGAATCTGTCTTCATGCTTCATGTTCAAATAATGCATGCTTTGTATAGCTGTAGGCCATTGCGTGTGCCTAGTTTTGCATTTCGGGTCTCATTCCATGCATCGGGTGCCATGTTTCCGTGATTCGGGGCTGTTTTATATCACATTTCAGTGCTGAAATTACATGCTTGTATGCCATATTTCATGCCTCGCCATGCCTTGTTAGAGTTTCATACTATGCCTTAGGTTTGGTCCTCGGTTTACGTGCATGCGTGCACGCGTTTCGAGAGTCTCATTTTCATCTAATGGCCACCGATTTTGGCATGCTTGCAAGCTATCCATGTTAGTTTAAGTCCATCATCGCATGTTATTGCATGCCATGTTTACTTACATGTTTAGGTAACCGAGCAGGGACGAAGTGGAAATGAATGAAAGAGAGATGAAATCTTTGAAAAATCTTTCAAAACACCTTGCTTAGGGGTTTGAAGTTGAAGAAAGGAGGGGAAGAGAGAAGAAACCAAGTTGGAGGAGAAGACAGGCATGAATCTGGGTAGAAGGGAGTCGAGCAGTCCTCGCTGAATCGGGATTATTAATCGCCATACGCTAGCTCTAATGGACTTAGGATTACTATTAATCTTGGACTCCCAGTAGGATTGGGATAAACTCCCTAAGAGTCTTATCCTTTCCCAACTGTAGTCTTCCCCCTTTCTAGGACTCTTGTGCCTTATCCACTTATCTCGGATTCTGTTATCTTTGGAGGAAACCTCGGTCTCGCCGAGATCACCTCGGCATCATGACCAGGACACGTGGCACCTCGGCTGACACGTCGACATCACCTTAACCACGTGTTGATACTCAAAAAATATATCCCCACAACTTGAATAAATTTTATTGCTCTCCTAATAATAATATAGAAAGAAGACCCATCAATAACAAGTCGTCGAATGGCTGTTAATTGTTGACACACCATAGGTAGCTTCCAAGTCTTTTCTGTGCACTTTACTTGGGAACAATCCAATTGTCTTTCCTTAACACGGTTTTCTTTTCTGCAACTCAAATCGTTTACCAAAGCTCACATATTTCTCAGCTCACTCTTTCTTCTCTATATTCTAGGTTTCTCATCTTGATTTCCCCTTTCAGGTACTCTCTAACTTTGTCCTCTCAACTGTTTTATGTTTCCTTCTCTCTGTTCTCTTTGCAATTAAACCATTATTTTTCTCTAATTACTGTACTTTTTGAACTTGAGTCTAAATCTAGGGTTTTCCTTGTTTTGTGGTTCCGTTATGCATCATGATTGCATTCTTTAAATTGCATGATCTACTACTATTCAAGACATATACATGTGTCTTGGTAAGTGAAATCTGGAACAACTTGGGTCCGAATCTATGATTTGGCTTGTGTTGGGTTGCCCTTATGCATCAAGATTGCATTCTTATAATTGCAGGATCTACTTTTCGAGATATATGTGTTAGTGATTGAAATTCGGAATACTTGGAAATCCAAAGGCTAAAATTTTGTCAGTTTAAGCTGAAAATTCACATAGGAAGATTTTGGGTATACCCTTTATAGTAGAGGTGATAACTTAAACTTTGACATGGACCAAGTTTGGGTGGCCTAGAGTAGAGGTGATAGAGAGATCAGAGATGAGACAGGAGATAAACCTGTGTACATAGACTTAGGGCACTAGGACACTTAGCTCTGATGAAAATTTAGAATTTTGCAGGCATCTAACTCAAATTGACAATAAGTGGAGAGACCTTTAGATTATTTGGATCAAGTTTAGGTGGCTTATATAGAGAGACAATGTGAGACAAGCATGGGCTGAATCAACATACAAAAACTCGAGAGCATTTTCTAGGACTAATTTCACATTTTGTTAGAACTTAATTTATTAGAACTCTAGGTCCTTTTCCTTTTCGACCCTTCTCCATGAGTTGTATCAAAGCACAGTGCCTGCCCCTGAACATGCCAATGTCCTTTGGGGTCTGCCTCCTTTGTGCAATGCGTCCTCCGTGATTCTTCTCTTCTTGACTCTCTTCGTCCGACTTCCTTAGAAGGTCGATGAGAGTATCTTTCGCTCCTATTGTGCTGAAGGGCTACAAGGATTGTTTTCTACCCTCCCTTCTGGGCATTGGCCGCTGGAATCGACGTGTCCTACAGCGGGAACGGTGGCTGCATGACGTTATTTTGCATCATGAAATGAACGACCGACTGCAGGTCTGCCAATTTGTTTGCCATCTCTTTTACCTCTTCATCCCTCCGTAGGCACCTATCATTCCATACCTGGAGGTCGTCCTCGTTGTAGTATCCACTTCGATCTGGTTTCTTTGGTGCATCGCCAGTCTGACCGACGTCTTTCACTCCGTGATTTTGGTCACGAGTTTCTGCGTTGCATTCGTCTCCTGTGATATCAAGGTCAATAGGTCTCCCACTCCCAGCAGGAGTGTCGTCCCCAATCTTTTCCTTCTGTCCATTACTGGCCATCTATTCTCCTTTCTTTCCCACAGACGTCGCCAAATTGTGTGGGTGATTTTCCAACCACATTGCCAACTTAGTATTCAGCTGGAGAACACTGGCAGAATAGATGACACCTGGCTAACCTGCTACAGAAAGAGAAAATTCCGGCGGTGGTTCATCCACCCGGGGGTATTCCGACGATCAAGTCAGTATATCTCTCAAAAATAATCAATAGTGCTAAACTCACTATTAAGAATATGAATTGCGTACCTTAGACCCACGGGGGTGCCTCTCTTTTATAGCTAACTCAATCCTTGTCCCAACAGGAGCTTAGCTCTAATGGACTTAAGATTACTATTAATCTTGGACTCCTAGTAGGATTGGGATAAACTCCCTAAGAGTCTTATCCTTTCCCAACTGTAGTCTTCCCCCTTTCTAGGACTCTTGTACCTTATCCGCTTATCTCGAATTTCGATATCTTCGGAGGAAATCTCGACCTCGCCGAGATCACCTCAGCGTCATGACCAGGACACGTGACACCTCGGCTGACACCTCGGCGTCACCTTAATCACATGTTGATACTCAAAAAATATATCCCCACAACTTGAATAAATTTTATTGCTCTCCTAATAATAATATAGAAAGAAGACCCATCAATAACAAGTCGTCGAATGGCTGTTAATTGTTGACACACCATAGGTAGCTTCCAAGTCTTTTCTGTGCACTTTACTTGGGAACAATCCAATCGCCTTTCCTTAACACGGTTTTCTTTTCTGCAACTCAAATCGTTTACCAAAGCTCACATATTTCTCAGCTCACTCTTTCTTCTCTATCTTCTAGGTTTCTCATCTTGATTTCCCCTTTCAGGTACTCTCTAACTTTGTCCTCTCAACTGTTTTATGTTTCCTTCTCTCTGTTCTCTTTGCAATTAAACCATTATTTTTCTCTAATTACTGTACTTTTTGAACTTGAGTCTAAATCTAGGGTTTTCCTTGTTTTGTGTTGCCGTTATGCATCATGATTGCATTCTTTAAATTGCATGATCTACTACTGTTCAAGACATATATATGTGTCTTGGTAAGTGAAATTTGGAACAACTTGGGTCCGAATCTATGATTTGGCTTGTGTTGGGTTGCCCTTATGCATCAAGATTGCATTCTTATAATTGCAGGATCTACTTTTCGAGATATATGTGTTAGTGATTGAAATTCGGAATACTTGGAAATCCAAAGGCTAAAATTTTGTCAGTTTAAGCTGAAAATTCACATAGGAAGATTTTGGGTATACCCTTTATAGTAGAGGTGATAACTTAAACTTTGACATGGACCAAGTTTGGGTGGCCTAGAGTAGAGGTGATAGAGAGATCAGAGATGAGACAGGAGATAAACCTGTGTACATAGACTTAGGGCACTAGGACACTTAGCTCTGATGAAAATTTAGAATTTTGCAGGCATCTAACTCAAATTGACAATAAGTGGAGAGACCTTTAGATTATTTGGATCAAGTTTAGGTGGCTTATATAGAGAGACAATGTGAGACAAGCATGGGCTGAATCAACATACAAAAACTCGAGAGCATTTTCTAGGACTAATTTCACATTTTGTTAGAACTTAATTTATTAGAACTCTAGGTCCTTTGATGTTACCGGTTAAGCGGTAGTTTTGAAAAGTAATATATTATTGATAAATAATTATCAACTAATTAATTTTATTTATTTGACTATTGAAGAATATTGGCGTGCTAAATATGGTACTACAAACCTCATATTCATTCATGCATGAAATATTAACATACTTATTGGTCCTAGCAATACTGGTTATGTTCTTCAATTTTCAATCTATAATTCCACCTACTGAAACTAATTCTGAAAGTTTGAATAGCAAGCTTTAGTTATTATATGTTATGGATGATTATGTATCCTCTAATTCCAATGTAATATTTGGTATTTTATTTACTTAAGTAATTTCTTCACTCAAATATTAGGTTTATAAAACTTCGTTGATTATTTGTAAAGACTTTTTCTTGAAGTTTTATTACGTTACGTGTTCTGGTAATTGGTGTGCTAATCACCACACTGTCATTCTTTACGTTAGATTGTTCAATGGTGATGAAATTCTTAACATTTTTTACAATAGGTAGTCTTGTAGATGCAAACTTCCTACAGAGCATAATATATGGATGTTCATTGTTGAGTGCCCTGAGTGGCTAAACTATCACAATCACCTTGATGAAATTGTCCAGACTTTCACAAAATAGATGGAAACATTGCACTCTCTAGAGGACGATGTTAACGCACAATTGGTAAATGAAGAGTTAAATCCTAGAAAGAAGTGAAAGAGAGAAGTTGCCGTTTGGTTGAAAAATGTACAACGTGAAAAGAGTTGCAAAGCATAGAACAAAACAATAGAGAAATGAACTTTTTAACACGTGCATGGTGGGGAAGCCGGGTTCAAAAGAATATACTAGAGGTGGTTTTGCTTTGTCAACATGGACGATTTTCGGATACTAGAAGTTTTTGCTTTGTCAACGTGGAGGATTTATAATACTTCACTCATTGGAGTTATTAGTTAAACTTGTTTTGTAGGTTTACTGCTAAATCACATTTTAATCACATTGAAAAGAATTCATTAGCATTGGACATGGATGAAAACTTATTCAATCTTGGTTGACTGGCCTGGTAATTAGTTTTGAGCAAGCATTGTTTGAATGTTAAGTTATGCATAGCTAAGTTAAACTTAGCAGACACCACAATGTTGTTGTCAAACAACCTCTAACCACAGCAACTGATGATCACTTCGACCAGCACTTCCACCTCATCCCACAATGAGTATACGATATAACGGAGCTCAAGAATACACTAAGAAACTCTCTCCATTATATTATCAACAAACTCAAACTCAAATAAATATAAATAACAAATACCTAACATTCAAACATCAATACAAAACACTTTTAATACTCTCACTACACAGTATTTGGATTGGTGAGTTTTTCACCACACCACCCGTTCTCTGCTACCATACTTTTATCTCATTTATATCCATCTATATTTCAAATCAACTTAATCGAAGGTCATCATTAGTCTTCTAGAATATTTTAAAATTTCCTAAACAATTATAGTACATAGTTGAGTTTTCTATGCTTTTTTAGAAGGGCAATGATTGGTGGCCACAAATTCTGTGACTCAAATGGTCCAAAAATGCTAAAACGATGTCGTTTTGAGTACAAAACAACTCTGAAAATACCAAAACGATATCGTTTTGGCATTTTCAGGCCATTTGAGCCACAGAATTTGTAGCCACCAAACATTTTCCTTTCTAAAATACTCTAAAACTTTTCAGATTCTTCAATACTTTTTTTGTAATGTTCTATTAAGTTCCATATTATTCTAGAATGTTCTAGAAAAACATATTGGAAATTTTCTCCTTATATTTTAGAATGATGTAGAAGACTTTACATTGCTTGTCTTGAATCCCAACATCCTCGGCCTCGGTGACCTCTTTTGGCTACCACCCACACTTGTTGACAACTTACCTCTTACCAACACCTCCAACGAGCGATTTGCATAGGACTATACTTCTTTGCATATAAAACGAAGCTAGAACAAAAGCTACCATGAGAATAAACCAAATTTAAAAGGTTCAAATAGGATGAAAATAAATTATTTTTATTGCAGAAATTGCTTATTTTCATCTTATTTGATCTTTTTCTAAAACTAATTCCCTTTGATCAACAATACAATACAATTATTTTTTTGTGAAAAGAATTGTAGGTCCCACATTAATGAGTCCATTTTAGTATTCATAATCCCTCTCACAAAATAATTTATGGGACAATATTCTTAACTGGGGATAACCTTAAAATTTTGAAATTTGAACAAAATTTTTTTTTTCCTTCAAAATGGTTTTTGCTCATTCCTAAGCCAATCTTTTGTAGGTAGTGTAGCAGGATTTGTTCATTTGATGGTGTCTGTATATTCTGGTGGTGATGTATATCCATTATGGATATGTGATTCTTGAATAATAGTATGATTTGTGCATTTCGGCTTGTTTTGGTAACTCAGCTAAAAATTACTTTTTTTAATTTTGTTAATTTTTTTTAGGTTGTATCATCTTTTTCCTTTTTTACATATTTTTTTAAAAAAAATATAAAAAATAATTTTTAAAGTACTTTCCAAAACATGCACTCGCACAGCTCAATCCATCCATTTAAACGCAGCAAGGTTTACACATCCAACTGTAACTGACTCGTGGCATTCATCCACAAAATAATCATAAAAACAGAGCAGGTTCCCCTCTGCAAATACGTGATCGTATATATCTATTAACTAATTCACAGACCAAACACATGTCAACCATCGGATGGTTAGAGTTATATCTATGAACCCACAGACTGCTCGACCATTACCAGCATTGCCACCCATTTAAAACCTCCCCACCACAGAACCAGCACTCCATAGGACTATTAGGCATGGTTTGTTTCTGCTTCTTAGTTGATCAAAAGAGGACGATGAGGAGAAGCAAGCCAGCGGCAGGGATGTGTTCGCGGTGCGGTGGAGCAAGCGTGGCAGACATGAAAACCGCCACAAGGTTCTGTTGCGTCCCATTCTACTGGAAATCTTGGAAAGTTATTGTATGTACTTTCCGTGGAGCTATTCTTAAATCTTACAACAAATAAAAAAATTATTCTTGGTTTTAATTTTTTGAATTTAATTTTTTGAAAATTAAATTTTTTATTTTTCGTATTTTTTTGTTTTTACTAAATATTTTTAAATTTTAAGTAATTTTTTTTTATTTTTTTTAAATGGATCTTACTTAGATGTATTTAAAAAGTAAAATATTTATGAAAAAAATTATTTAAAAAAATAATAAATACACAAAAATATGAAAAATATATTAAATTTTCGTATTTTTTTTGTATTTAGTGAATTTTTTAAAAAAATCACAAAAATTATACTTTTTAAGTGTATTTATGTTTGTTGTGTCTAAAAATTAAAAAAATTATTTAAAATATTAAAGAAATTCAGTGGAAAAAAAAAACAGAAAATAAAAATAAAATTTTTTTTGAAAAGTGAATTTTGAAAAACAAAATCAAGCCGAGTGAATAATTTTAGGATACAGGAATATCTCCCTTTGTATGTATTAATCTTAGCACAGAAAAGCCTTTAGATTCTAAGGCGTGGGCGTGGCACATCAATCTCTCTTTGTATGTACCTAATAAAATTTGATAATGAAAGTTTTACCTTTTGTATTATCAAGTTTCCTCCATTAATTCTTACCATGAGATTTTTTTTTTAATTGACAGAAAGGAAGTAATATTTTATTAATAAAAAACATTACAAGCGGGGAGAGAAGAAAATATATTTTTAAATTTTTTTTTATTAAAGTGACACCAAACATACAATAAAATCTTTTATAGTACTCATATGTGCACAATTCATTTATGGACATTACTATACAAATTTAAAAATCAAACTCAAGTTTTAAATTTTATAACATGATAATCAATTAGGATATCAAATCAATATTCTTTCATATCTTCTCTAATTATCAACGTAATTTAATTTAAATGGCATGGTTATCTTGATGATGAGATATTTTTTTTATTAGTTTATGCTATGTCTAGAAAAATTAATAAAAAATATTTTACAAACACACCACCATTATGGCCACCGCCTCTGTCCCACGCCGACCACTGCCACGGTCACCATCCATCTCTAAATAGTCTACTGACACAGAGCATGGAATTCAGGGGTAGCCCAGCGAATCCGGATCCTCGGCCGCCCTACCCGGCGGCCCTACCCGGCAGCCCCCCAAAACGACGTCGTTTTGGGGGGCTGCCGGGTAGGGCCGCCGGGTAGGGCGGCCGAGGATCCGGATTCGCTGGGCTACCCCTGAATTCCATGCTCTGTGTCAGTAGACTATTTAGAGATGGATGGTGACCGTGGCAGTGGTCGGCGTGGGACAGAGGCGGTGGCCATAATGGTAGTGTGTTTGTAAAATATTTTTTATTAATTTTTCTAGACATAGCATAAACTAATAAAAAAAATATCTCATCATCAAGATAACCATGCCATTTAAATTAAATTACGTTGATAATTAGAGAAGATATGAAAGAATATTGATTTGATATCCTAATTGATTATCATGTTATAAAATTTAAAACTTGAGTTTGATTTTTAAATTTGTATAGTAATGTCCATAAATGAATTGTGCACATATGAGTACTATAAAAGATTTTATTGTATGTTTGGTGTCACTTTAATAAAAAAAAATTTAAAAATATATTTTCTTCTCTCCCCGCTTGTAATGTTTTTTATTAATAAAATATTACTTCCTTTCTGTCAATTAAAAAAAAAATCTCATGGTAAGAATTAATGGAGGAAACTTGATAATACAAAAGGTAAAACTTTCATTATCAAATTTTATTAGGTACATACAAAGAGAGATTGATGTGCCACGCCCACGCCTTAGAATCTAAGACCAAGTTTGGCATCCTTCAAAAAATTTAAAAAGTCAAAAAGTCACTATCTTATTTAAATCACATCATCTTATTTAAGTCACATCACTTTTCTAACACATCACTTCAAACCCAACCTAAATCCAACCCATATTTCATAAAAAGTCAAAAAGTACACTTATTTAGTTTTTTCAAACTTGGCCTAAAGGTTTTTCTGTGCTAAGATTAATACATACAAAGGGAGATATTCCTGTATCCTAAAATTATTCACTCGGCTTGATTTTGTTTTTCAAAATTCACTTTTCAAAAAAAATTTTATTTTTATTTTCTGTTTTTTTTTTCCACTGAATTTCTTTAATATTTTAAATAATTTTTTTAATTTTTAGACACAACAAACATAAATACACTTAAAAAGTATAATTTTTGTGATTTTTTTAAAAAATTCACTAAATACAAAAAAAATACGAAAATTTAATATATTTTTCATATTTTTGTGTATTTATTATTTTTTTAAATAATTTTTTTCATAAATATTTTACTTTTTAAATACATCTAAGTAAGATCCATTTAAAAAAAATAAAAAAAAATTACTTAAAATTTAAAAATATTTAGTAAAAACAAAAAAATACGAAAAATAAAAAATTAAATTTTCAGAAAATTAAATTCAAAAAATTAAAACCAAGAATAATTTTTTTATTTGTTGTAAGATTTAAGAATAGCTCCACGGAAAGTACATACAATAACTTTCCAAGATTTCCAGTAGAATGGGACGCAACAGAACCTTGTGGCGGTTTTCATGTCTGCCACGCTTGCTCCACCGCACCGCGAACACATCCCTGCCGCTGGCTTGCTTCTCCTCATCGTCCTCTTTTGATCAACTAAGAAGCAGAAACAAACCATGCCTAATAGTCCTATGGAGTGCTGGTTCTGTGGTGGGGAGGTTTTAAATGGGTGGCAATGCTGGTAATGGTCGAGCAGTCTGTGGGTTCATAGATATAACTCTAACCATCCGATGGTTGACATGTGTTTGGTCTGTGAATTAGTTAATAGATATATACGATCACGTATTTGCAGAGGGGAACCTGCTCTGTTTTTATGATTATTTTGTGGATGAATGCCACGAGTCAGTTACAGTTGGATGTGTAAACCTTGCTGCGTTTAAATGGATGGATTGAGCTGTGCGAGTGCATGTTTTGGAAAGTACTTTAAAAATTATTTTTTATATTTTTTTTAAAAAAATATGTAAAAAAGGAAAAAGATGATACAACCTAAAAAAAATTAACAAAATTAAAAAAAGTAATTTTTAGCTGAGTTACCAAAACAAGCCGAAATGCACAAATCATACTATTATTCAAGAATCACATATCCATAATGGATATACATCACCACCAGAATATACAGACACCATCAAATGAACAAATCCTGCTACACTACCTACAAAAGATTGGCTTAGGAATGAGCAAAAACCTAATTTTGAAGGAAAAAAAAAATTTGTTCAAATTTCAAAATTTTAAGGTTATCCCAGTTAAGAATATTGTCCCATAAATTATTTTGTGAGAGGGATTATGAATACTAAAATGGACTCATTAATGTGGGACCTACAATTCTTTTCACAAAAAAATAATTGTATTGTGTTGTTGATCAAAGGAGATTAGTTTTAGAAAAAGATCAAATAAGATGAAAATAAGCAATTTTTCCAATAAAAATAATTTATTTTCATATTATTTGAACCTTTTAAATTGGTTTATTCTCATGGTAGCTTTTGTTCTAGCTTCGTTTTTTATGCAAAGAAGTAGAGTCCTATGCAAATCTCTCGTCGGAGGTGTTGGTAAGAGGTAGGTTGTCAACAAGTGTGGGTGGTAGCCAAAAGAGGTCACCGAGGCCGAGGATGTTGGGATTCAAGACAAACAATGTAAAGTCTTCTACATCATTCTAAAATATTAGGAGAAAATTTCCAAAATGTTTTTCTAGAACATTCTAGAATAATATGGAACTTAATAGAACATTACAAAAAAAGTATTGAAGAATCTGAAAAGTTTTAGAGTATTCTAGAAAAGCATAGAAAACTCAACTATGTACTATAATTGTTTAGGAAATTTTAAAATATTCTAGAAGACTAATGATGACCTTGGATTAAGTTGATTTGAAATATAGATGGATATAAATGAGATAAAAGTATGGTAGCAGAGAAAGGGTGGTGTGGTGAAAAACTCACCAATCCAAATAGTGTGTAGTGAGAGTATTAAAAGTGTTTTGTATTGATGTTTGAATGTTAGGTATTTGTTATTTATATTTATTTGAGTTTGAGTTTGTTGATAATATAAGTATTAAAAGTGTTTTGTATTGATGTTTGAATGTTAGGTATTTGTTATTTATATTTATTTGAGTTTGAGTTTGTTGATAATATAATTGAGAGGGGAGATTTGCGCGTTAGTACGGCCGAACTACGATAACGCCGATCATGACGAACCGCGTGCCGCCGAGCAGACTCCTATTTTGCTCGGCCCAGCGGCTCGACTTGCACGGCCGGAGAGGTCGACCGGCCAGACACGAACCAATGCCTGGCCGAGCTATAGCGCGGTCGAGGGCGCAGCAGTGTCTGGTGACCAAGCTAAGAGCAGCCCGGACTGGACTTGAGGTGCGATTAGCGTCGGCATGCGCCTAACCGATCGGCCGAGATGGACGGGCTCCATGTGATCAAGAATGAAGAACGGTGGAAGTCCGGCGTGCTTCATGGCCATTCAGTCAGTTGGGACAGATCATAAATAGCCCGGCCATGAGCATAACACTTTGGCCCCTTTGCCAAGGGGCAGGGTGGTGTTCATTAGCTCGGTTATGTGGAGGCAATTCTCCACAGGGAACCAACTGGTCGTGGTACTCCAGTTAAGTGTGCCACCTGGGCCAATGGCATGAGGGGGAGGACATCTGCTCCACGCACGCACCAATACCGTTTGGTAGCTCTGCATGTACTGGTCGGAGGACAAAATCTTTACACGCGTAAGGTGGTGAGAGGCAAGCACTGCCACCTGTCTAGGGAAGGACAACAGAGGTGGTATGCACACGATCTTGGGGCTGCATGGCCAGCCTAGAAATAGTGGAGGGAGGTGAACGTTAGAGGTATGCAACTTCTTCCCCAAAGAGAATACTCTCTCTCTCTATTAGTCTTCTTCTTCCTCAAGTGGACTGACTTGATCGTTGGAGGGTCTATCTGGCACACCACCGCCGGACAGCTCACCATTTCTGTGTTGCCAGGTAGACGCCGTCAAGAGAAGCTTGG